GCAGGCAGTGTCTTTTTATCTACATAGTAGAAACATTTACCCCCCCATTTCCGTATATGATCAATTGAAGGGGTTTCACCCGTAAAGGCTTTGATTGGACTGGTTTTCATATTCGAAATTATTGGGCCAGAGTCAGTTCGGTTGCGTATGTAGCAGTCAGTTTCTGCTGCTTCATCCCAGAACTCAATTGGAAGCTGGGCTTCTTCTAGCATTGTCCTCATATCGAACTCAACAGTTTGGATCGAACGTTCTGCAGGGCCGTTCTGATGCGAAGAGGCAATAGTGATTGATTGTGCAAGAACTCCATCTTCTATTTTCCAATCGTGGATGGCTTTGAGGAGTTTGGGTGCGCTGTCTGATCTTGCACATTTAAATTTCTTGCCCGATTGATGTTCAGTTACTGTTTTCCAGGTTTTCAATGCCTCATATGCATCACTTTTGGTCTTTATTGGAATCACCCAATTCATTCTGCTGCAAATGTCAATGATGAGGAGGAACCATCTGTTGCCTCTGATACTTGTTGGGAATGGGCCAGCAACGTCAAATTGAACTTGTCCCAGTATTTCATTGATCCAAGGGCTTAGGACCTTTGGGATCCTGTTTTTCATCTTAGTAAGTGCACATACCTCACAGACATCGAGATCTCGTGGAATCTTGATCTGCTTTTTGAGTGTAGTAACCAGATGTAAGTTTCGAATTTTTTCAGGTCCTAAGTGAGCAAAGCGACGGTGGTACTTGAGGTATCTTTCCCTTTCGTTTTTCCGGATAGTTTCTTGATGTGAGATTTGACTCGGGCTCACATATGAAGTGTTATTATTTGACCTGACGTTTTCCACAGAATTAAACGCAGTCTCTTCATATCCTTCAGCGATATGCGTCACAGTATAGAGTCCTTGATTCATTCTAGCTTCAATGATAACTTTATTGCCTAGCTTAAGGAACAATTCATTTTGATTACCCGCAAATTTCAAACCTGCTTGACACAGCCTTCTCACTGATAGAAGATTAACTCCCAGATTTGGAACAAATAAAACATCGGAAAGAAGCATTGAAGATCCGTCTTTACACCTCATTTGAACATCGCCAGATTATTCATACTTTAATTCGCCCCCTCCAACCTTTAGTCTTTTGGGAAAAATTGGTATAAGTTTCCTAAATAGAAGAGGTTGGTCAGACAAGTGAGACGTGGCGCCAGTATCGACGGGCCAATTAGATGGAGTAGCCTTACATATTTCTTCCTTTGACAGGTGACATTCTTCGCAATCTTCATTTTCTGAAGCTAATGTTTCAGCAGAGAAGGCATTGTGATATCTGGACTGCTTTTGTGCTGATCGAGAAGTTTTGGGTTTATCTTTATCTTGCAGGCGTGGTTTAGTTGATTCCTGCACTTTCTTATTCCTGTCGTGCTCTTTCAAAAGTCTCGCAGCTGTTTCTAACCTAGGACATCGAGCGACAGTGTGTGACCGTTTACATAAATAGCATCTATAAGCAGGGCTATCAGAATCAGAGTTTTGATTTTGTCGCATTTTCTGTGGAAACTTAGACAATTTTTGCCTAGCAATGAGGGCTTTTTCATTCTGAAGTCGTAGATCTTCTTCGACTTCGTTCAAAATCTTCAGCTTATCCTCAACAGAAAGAGTAACCTGTATTCTGAATCCATCTGTTGTCGCCTTAAAGGCCGCTGGGAGTGTCTTTGTCAGAATTAAGAATAACGCCGCATCTGGATAAGCGTTCTTCATGATAGGATCTGCACTGATGAGTTTTCGGCGAAACTCTTTTAGCTTAGCCCAAGAATTGTCCAAGCCCATTTCTTGACGGAATTCAAACGTTGTAATTTTAGTTAGATACGTGTTTGCAGAATACTCGTTCGTTCTAAAATACTTGCCTTTGAGTGCGTTCCAGACTCTGAGTGCTGTCTCGTGCTCATCGATCAGATCAAAATCTTCTGCGATGAGAGCCTGGAGTATGAGGAAAAGTGACGTTGCTTCAGCTTTCTCATACTTTTCAACTTTTGTTTCGTCCAAACTCGTACTCAGCACTTCAACTTTGATTGATCCTCCATCGATACCAGATGTCGAAGGTATTGTTTTACTTCGGTTTTGTTTCGTGGTCGCGTATTCTTCCAATGTTGTTTCAATAGTGAAAAATACTGACCTAGATTTAAGTTTTAGCTTCATTTCTCTGAACCAGCTCTCATAGTTATCCCTTGAGAGCGAGGGGATGCGGCCAAGGGCTTCATTATCCTCCATTCTTGTGAGGTTTAGTCCAAGGCGAAATTTCGATTCCTTGCTCGAATTGTAGACGATTGTAGATTCCTTTCTCGAATCTTAGGCTAAGCCGTCAAGGCTTTGGAGTCGATTTTGATTCTATTTATACCTGTGGCAAACCAGTGGTCATAACCTATTAATTTGGGAGGACTTCTGTCGCAGTATGACTGTATAGAAGACGATGGAATTAGCACAGTGGATTGAGGTCAGATAGAATCAGATATTCGAGTTAACTAAAAGTATACTAAGATCGAGACAGCCAGACTCCTAAGTACAAATTTTCCTCCACGCAACTGATCTGCATGAATAGCGTAATTGACGCGACTCATGTGTTTGACTCTGCCTGACTCGGATTGCCCCTGTAGCAGCTAGACACACCTTGTCATTTAACACATTAACGTTTATTTCACACTAGAATTCCAGCGGATGACTATGTCTTAAATGCAGGTTATAGTTTTCTCGTATCCATTACCGACACACATGTATTTAGCTTTATATTCCTGACCCATATATGTGTATGTACATAGATCTACATCTACATGGATCATAACTTACGATCCATGGAGATTGATAAATACTGGTCAAAAACCACAGTTGATAAGATATGCAAACACGCAACCTCACTCTTATCATCTCGGTTTTACTCTGAACCATACATCTAAATACAATTGTTTCCACTCGGATCTCCCTCTCACAACCTCATACGAGACTTACTGCATCGGTCTAACCGCCAACAGTGATTCCGCTACAACCTCCATCTTCGCTAAAGCTCATAACTTTAACACTTACTAAAGGAAACACGTATATACAGCAGTTGTCTCTCTCTCCTGACGCCATTCCTAAACAGGTAACTCATTACTCATCAACATGATTAGTCATCATTTCTAAGATAATATATGAAAGGTCATTGAGTCATTAAGTCATTTGACAGATACCTATACCAGTAGTATATCCCCTCCTATGCCTCCCATACAGCGCCCCTCAAACTGTACCACTCTTAACAAGTCCTCATTCGATCATACACTTAGGGGAGTCCTTTGCCCTTCATTATCTCTCCTCTCCAGCCAACGAAATGATGGCTATTTGCGGGTGTATGGCAGCCGGGAAAATTTGCAAAAACCACTGGGTGCGAAGCTCTCTTAATACCGAAGTTAGGACTAGATCCGAAGACATAGTGATCCTTCTAAAGCGTTCGTAGAGGCTGGCCAGCTGGGCGCTGAAGACTTGTTTATACCTCGGGAAATTCACACTCTGCCTTTCTAGCCTCCTTCCAACTCCTTCCTTAAGGTCGTGCTTAAATGTCAGAAAAGTCTTGACAGAGCTTGATTGCTGTAAAGCAACTTAGCCCAAGTTCTTTTGTACCGTCCAGGGCGCTGGGGAGTGTCATTGACTCATCGACAACAGAAGCCCTCCTGGCTAATTAGCCGAAATCTTAGTCTTGGCGCTCACAAAACTTCCAAAGTTGAAAACTCCTAGAAAATATGAGTCCCAACATGTTCTTCAGAGACCTATTCCCCCTCTCGTTCCACATCTCAGGCGCCTGTTCTCCCTCAACTTGTTCGTCTCATTAGAGCAACAGTCCTCCAAAAGCCAAGACCCAGGCTTTTTATTTTTCGACTTGATTTCCTCCTTGCGGGTATAAATAGCGTCGTAAATAAATGGTGAGAGATGGCTGGAAATTAATGGGGCAAGCTCCTGTATACAATTGGAGCAACTTCTTTACTGGTCGTTAAGGCGTGATGATGCGTGGTTACAAAGGTCTTTAGGATACAGATGAGTATGGTGAGAGAGGCATTGTCGAGAAGTCGTTAAATGGAGATATGCAGGGCATACCGAGCGATTACACCGGCACCAGTGGAAGGTGAAGAATTGTTGCGAAACCAAATCTATACACTCCCCGTGCTTGTTGTTTGAATATGTGTCCATCAAGATTGTTGGGTGTTGCCTATCCGACACTAATTACACCATCATTTTTGTCACGTCTGATCTTCGAGACTGCGACGAGAATACGTGTTACTGGTATCAGATCTATAGTTTGTTCCGTTGTATTCCGTAAGGAGGGATTACACTCTAGCCCATGTCATTGCCAGACATCAATGTATATAGACAGTCTCATATCCTATAGTAAAGATCAAGAGTTTCGATCAAGCCTTTACTATAAACATAATTCACATCTACGGATACCCTTTGAAGTTTATACTTCGTTATTTCTCCATGATCACTCGAAGAGTTCTGCATATTCTTAGTTTATTTTCAACAAGAATTCGTCTTTGCTGTCCCGACCGACTGGTGTTGAGAATAGTCCACCTTTTTCTACCGCATTTAGAGCATCTGATCTCCGGTATGCCCAGTAGAGTCTAGATAGCTTGGAAACATATCCCACTCGAGACAGTAGATCGCTGGTTCAAATCCAGCAAGACACAACTACTTTTCTCGCGGTGCTGGTATGCATGGATAATCAAAGGTTTGGAAATTCCCTTTGGTGGGTTCTTGCGGAGGAGGGTCGACTGTTTGTGTAAGCAAACATACCTCGTAGTGGTTTTTGCAAATGAAATCCAGAGTATGATTATCTCTAACGTCAAAAGAGTTATCCCACATCTATACATAGCACTGGTCATGTGTCATAGCTAGATAGCTGAATACACATTAAATGATTTAATAAAAAAAAAAGGTGTTGAGAGTAGTCCCCCTTCGTTTCTATCTACCGCATTAAGAGCATCTAATCTTGCGCCCTTAAAATCCATACTGATAACGTCCAGGGCCCGTCTGAATAACACTATTTTCCAACTCATCAGTTGGCTCACATCCATACCCACGACCATCAACTATAGCTTCAATCCAAACAACTTGTTTCCATTCCGTAAATGCTACATTGATTGTGACATCATAAATTTCTAGACATAAGAATTAGTAGAAAATAATATCTTTTTAGAATGAAATTTCATACTTATTGGAGTGTAGTATTTAATGTGGAATTGTGCTATGGAAAATGTTTCTCGGACACGGTTAACTCCACTAGGTTTTTCCATTTTAGCATATTGATGGTCAATTGCCTCTTGTATGATTGCGCAAGAAATAACCTTGTTCCAACATTTAAAATTTGTAACAGGTAATACAGCTGATACAGGCAACAGATAATTTAAAAAAGCTGCATATGAAAGAAGACTTGAGACTTTCTTATTGCTGCTGTCGTGTGCAAAAGATTTTATCTTTGTTTCAATGGAATTAGTGGACTATGTGATAGTTTAACTCTCTCGTTTCAGTCGGGTTTTATCAAAAAATGAATAACAGGATCCGGGTAAGAGTCTAAGGTAGTTTTTTGCTACTGTATTGCAAGCTGCGGTAAGATTGTGTACTGGAGAAATAATTTCGAAATGGGAATAGTCTCTTTTATACACATAGTGCGATGGTTAATTCCTGTTTAAAAAGAGATTACCAAAAATTATCTTGACTTTTCTTTCTCAAGAATCTGTTATCTAGGGTTAAGTTATTTAGGCCCTAAACTGTGAAATTAAAACTCTTGATCCAAGTGAAATGTAGAAAACTGAACAGGGACATGTATCAAGAGATGGTATGAATGCTAGAGATTTGCTGTAGTCACAGGCAGGAACAGGTCGAAATCCTGCTTAATTTAGTGTCATCTAGAGATTGATTGATTAATTTGATCTCGGGCAGATGAAAGTGAAGGGATTCTAACAGCCTACACCCTGATGGATGGACCCTTACATCTCGCCTCAGGCTTGAAAAGGCAAAGGTATTAGAGATTTATTTGATTTGATTTCATTTATCCCGTTCAGGTACCCTATGGGCCCATGCGGGTATATCTAGCTATAATATTTACACAGGAGGAAACCAAATTCGGTTAAACCCCCACAACTGTCTGTCTCGTGTTTATTTGTTTTCTAAGATCTCCTACAGGGAGTGCGATTACACTGTTGAGTGGTTGATTACACTGTTTATACAGTGTGAAATCCGTCTTATCCTTGTCCACATCATCTCATCTTTTCGTCCCATGCTATTTCTACTTCCCCTGCAAGCCGGAATTGTTCAAACCAGCCTTTTGCCAAGATCCATTTTGTAATTCTCTCTATATCATCTGGGATGTTCATCATTGCCGCAAATGACCTATCTTTTGCCTTTCGAAGCACCTCTCCTCTTCCCATTGCCCACTGAGGACACGCCAAGACCATGTTTGACATTTTGAGATGGATATCCACACTGACATTTTGGATTAATCACTCCGGGGACTTTCTTTCGATACAGATAAGAATGGAAACCAATGTGCCCACTTCTTATCTGAACTGCAATACTGCTTTTGGCCATACTAAGGTTCCGGTGGATGTTTGAGGGTGTGTTTCTATATGTAATCCTTTTTCTGCCTGTTGTCTCATCTGTAATAAAATTTGCGGCTTTCCAATTTAGAGATTTATTTATTATTTTGCTTTAAGTCCTGGGCTGTAGCCCTCAATCTATTTAGATATAGGACCGCTGGAGCCGGCTGGGATTTAACCTGTGGGCTTGCCCTGCCCTTTTTTTTATCAGATTTCAATTTCGTATGCAGCTATCTAGCCATGACATAATATCAAAGAAAAGTGCATAATAGATGACTCAGTATAAAGGAAGAGCACTCATGCCTCGGATTACATTAGCAAGTACACTGCGAAGCTATGGCGGCTTTTTCTTCACCCCAAGTTAACCCTCATCCGTGAATACCCACTCAGGGGAACGTCTCAAAAACCCTGAGTTATCCAAACATGCCTCCATCATCTTTCAACTTTTCTCCGCGCAATATATGATCTGAGGTGTCTCCTTCCCAAGTGGAGTAGGTGCCCAGGCTACTCAAACCATACCGGAGAACACTACCAGGAGGCGGGCCACGACACCTTCCATCGTTTGCTTGTGTATATAGTGTGAGCTGCACTCTCGAAAGCGAAGTCTTGGTGTGCACAAAGCTCAATTCGTAAAACTCTTTCCAAAATTCGGAATTTCACGCCCTTCGAGGTTATATCCATCCTCTGCACCATTTGGTGAACTTGTCCTGATTCCTCTCACGTCCATCCCAAAGAACTATCTCCCAGATTTGTGCGCCACGCTTTGCTTCCTCTGTCGGGTATAAGTATGACGACCAGAAGGGAGCACAGGTTAGCAGATGAACAAGTAGAATCAGGTAAAGACTAAGATCTGGAATATAATTCATGAGATTCTAAACTAATGGAAGAAGATAACAAGAGGGTATCTAGAGATATACATATATACAAAAGTTACAATTGGTCCGTGCGTATATAGGATCACCACACAATACCCGAAAGGAACAATAGTGTCAGAGGCCCTGAGGGTCAGGAATACAAGGCCGTAACAATAAGTATCGGCATGGGCCTGTATTTGGTGGTCAACTGAGGCCAGAGAATGTCGGAGAGAGGTGTGATCATTGGGATGAAGATGTACTAGGTCGTATTTGTAGACTTGATGAAACTTAGGTAGGAGTCAAACTCGTTTTGAGCGAAAAAACGACGTGGAGGAGTAATTTGAATCATTAACTCGTGGGCCAACTTCTTGGGTATTGCAAATTTGACTGAACTTGGCTCTAGGAGAATATTTCACTCCCAGGTTCGTAGAGGACAACGCGTATAGGTGTTCAGTCTTGCCCTCCATCTCCATTCTTTGTAACAGTCGAGGCCGACTTGATCCAATTCCCCATCTCTGTATTGGGTGCTGGGTACTCTCGGGAAACATATCGGATGGCTTTTCCTGCATGATCAAGAGTTCGTGATGAGAAGGGCTCCCACTCTACCATCTGATCTAATAGTGGTTAGCTTCATAATAGTGGTGATAGGTGAATGTGTTGAGAGATAGAGACAATACAGACCGCGAAAGTGATTGGGAATTATTGTGGTCATGAGTTTAGGTTAGTATCACTATGCATGCTGACCTTGTACGAGTATGTAGATCGATGAGTTCAGGTTGTGGTTGAAGGTGTATCTGTTACAGGCTGCGCCTATCTCCTAGTGACTGTCGCACGGACACTTATCATTAGTACGTCATTAGCCTTGCTATCTAAAGAGATGTCCAACTTGGCCATACAAATACAGGGTTGCAACAAATATGGAAACAAGATATTGTTGCAGCAAGTCTCATATGGAATCATGGGCCGATACGACCCAGTTTCGCCATGACAAGCCCACTCGGAATATCAAGGATATGGTGTAGTAGAATAGATAGTGAGGTTAGCGCATTGGGAGTTGGGACACCTTAAGTAGCCTCCCCTTGGTGGACAGTTCCGAGATGTATGTAGAAAATAGACAGTAATCGGCCACCATTCCTTTACTATATTGTTTTGTTGATCGCCCATCACATATTTTCTACATCATCCTAACATTGTAGTTTATCCCATTAAACAACAAAATTTCCGGTCAACCAAAGACTAGAAGAGAAGATCAAATCTTCTATGAGCTACCGAATCCCAAGTATAGATATCGATACCGATTCGACTGACAACGCTTCCTTTCATTCCAGGGCAAGTGAAACTATGTCGGAACAAGCTAACGTCAGCGGTGCCCATTATGGCCAACCGCAAAATACGGTTCATGAGCAACTAGGCGAACCCTCAGAGTTCGAAGAGCAACAGAGCCGATCTCCTCACCAAGCTGGGAACATTCCATCATTTAATCCGTCGTCACCTCAATATCAGGCGCTATATAATCAAATTATAGCAGATATCTCTCGCCGTCAACCCCTATTGAATGCGCAAAATTTTCCACACGCAACATCAACTCAGCCACAGTACAAAAAGCCCAGCAAGTGGCCTTCGTGGGACGGCTCAATCACTACTTTATCATCTCATATTTATCAGCTAATTGTTAAAGTCGAAGAAGATAAACTTCAGCTAGGGTCGGATCGCGCTATATGTCTAGGGATCCTGAATTCCATACCAGCAGATAAACAATCCAGAGTGAGTCACTGGTTTGAGACAGGAGGCCCTTCAGGAATGCACAACTGGAAAGATTTTGTCGAACATATCAAGCTTGAATTCGAGGATAAACAAGCCCGACAGACTGCAGGAGATCTACTTTATCGGATGCGTATGGGTTCCAATCAATACTTCTGCGACTTCTTTCAAGATTTTCAGGTTAAGCTTGCACAATGCGGGGGAACTAATTGGCCTGACAGCAGCAAGATCATGAAACTTAATTCAAGTATTAACGAATCGCTGAGTAACCATCTGGTATCCAAAGATCTACCTGATGATGATTTCGAAACATGGGTTTCTATGGTCAAAAGAGTAGCGGGACGACTCGAAAATCGACCATCTTATCGACCAACAGGCTGCACTGGCAAGAAAACTTGGTATTTGTCTCATAAGCAATCCAAGTACCATTCCAGCACAACTGACCGATATCTTCACGCACCAGACCTTGACAATGAAGGAGATACCAAGATGGGGGGAGTTAACGCTATTGAGGCTCTCAAACTAGCGCTAAACTCCCTAAATAGTCGAAACGTTACCAACAAGCCCAGGGCTAAATGGCGTTCCCCGGAGGAATTTAAAAATGTTTGTGTAGCAAGGGAAGATGCGTCCGGTGTCGAGAAAAAGGTCATTTATCTCGCGCATGCACTAAATTCGGTCCAGCTCAAAATCCCGCTTCAAGGATTGCCTATGTAAAAGGCCCCACGAAGATAAGGAAACAGAGCGACGCAGAAGAAAAGGTCAACTATGAAGGGTTGGAGACCAGTGAGGTTTCGGGGGAAGAGTAAGCTCTGGGCAACGTCGCGCTCAGAGCAAGGGAGAATCATTTTCCATTGATTTAGTTAAAAAAACAGATAAATTGAACAGTACTCCATTTTTAATAGATTGTCTGTTAAATTCAAGTTTCTTTGTGCAATCTTTGATTGACACAGGCTGTCTCTGTTATGCTGCATTTTCTAATGAGATCGTGAAGAAATGGGAACTTCCGCGCATAAAAATACCAAAAAGATCCTTGCAACTAGCAGAAAATGATGGGAAGCAAAGAACAATAAACGAATTGACTTT